CTGTGAGGGGTTGAAAGTTCTCCATGTGAGCAATCAATTAGACACAATATTTCATGCTTAAGAAGGATGTATAGTTCTGTGCTATTGAAAAACAGCCAGATTCCCTGAAATGGGCTGTGCTGAGCAAATAGAAACTACCACCACATTAAATTGAAACCAAAGCAGAGAAAATTTAAGCAAACATTGATCTCCTCAGCAAAACCTTTTAAAATAAATGAATAAGCAAAATAATATTTTCTCCATGATGCTTTTACTAGTTCAGTTAGGCTTCACTAGTCACTTTTGACAGATAACCACTTTTGACTAACTATCCTGGTAAGCCTTGCCATTAACATCTCCTTAAATTATGCAACAGCTAAGGTGTTGTTAAGGTGATTTGAAGATAAGTTATTACAATACTTGATTTAATTCGAAATTTTAAATTGTTTTAATTTAATTTAGAGTGAGAATTTTCTTCCAAATTTTACAAAACATTCTGTATGCAAGTCTATTGAAGAGATAGTTCATCTATTAGATAATTTGTATTAGTTTTTAAGCTATTACTTGGGAACTGCCCAGGGTCAGATGGAGTTGGACAATGTCCAAATTAAATTAAATACATTGAAATCTCCTTTTCTCCTATGATTACAGAAAATACTTAAAATTTCTGTTTGTAAAAATCACAGGGTAATGCAATTTCTTGGCCAACAGTATGATTCCATACTGCAAAGATTTCCCATTATTTGTCAATCTCCCACACATAGAAAGCAGCATTTATGATTTTGCATACTAGAATGGGTTGTTTTCTTATCCTTCATGTAAGAATTGTACCTAATTTATCTAACTTGTGGTCTTCCACTTTTTCTTTGTACTCATTGATAGAGATTACATAGACAAATTTATGCATAGCCTGAATAGTTTGATTAGATTCCAGAGTGTTAGCCTCAAAGCATGCAACACAAATCCATAAGAAATTATTAAAATATATGACTATATATTTAACATTTGTCCTGTTACTTATTTTTTTATTTATTTTAGAAAAGATTCATTCCCTTATTATCCTTCTGTTTAGTCTGAAAACTGAAATTTATTAGCAAGATCATCTTATAATTATTTAACAGCTTAGAATGTTCCTCATGCCTTGTTTACAGTAGCTTGAGTGATAGTGTTCCCAAAGTCAACTTAATGTAATAGTGGGGAGTGTGTGGCTCTACAAATGTTGGATTACAATTCCTAATCAAGATAGTTAATGATGAAAGCTGCAGAACACAACATCTGAAGGACCTTGCATTGTGACTTTCCAACAGGGGCTTAAATCTCTTAAATCTCTTGTATGATTTCTCTTGGGATATTTCTTACTCCCTTTTGTCTCATATTCTGGCTAAAACTGATATTCAATTACAGATCTTTAGCTTTCCTGATTCTACAAGAAAGTTCTTCATCATCATAGAACAGGATTGAAAGTAGACATGGCTTATCAGCTTAATATTTGGCTTCACTCTGCCTGAAAAGTATAAAAATGATGCTAAAATGGAGTATTTCAATATTGATCTCCAGAAAGATTGGAATTTCCTTTTTAATGGTGGTGAAGTTGACTTTCCTACATGATCCGTGTGGAAGGAAGGACACACAGAAAGATTAAAAATTGTGAACTCTTCCTTTCTTTTTTATAGTAAAGATGGCAAAGGAACCATTTTTTTTCTTCCCCTTTTGTTTTTGGAAGCTAACCCTGAGGTTCTGGAATGAACAAATCCTTCTGCCCTTCTTCATCCTTCCTTCTTCAAGCAACAAGAAATGTTCTTTTGTTGCATCTCACCATTAAGCCATTCAGCTAAGAGATAAAAGTACCAACAGAAGCAGGAGTGCTGAAGTGATGTATGTGTGTATTGGTGTAAGAATTTGAAATTTGGTGTAAGAAATGAACCTGGAGAAGACAATATGAGGCAGTGAGGAACATTTGGGTCATCATGGGATGAGAAAGAAAAGAAGAGGTGATTAATAGCAGCCTACTTACAAAGGAAATTTCCCAAAGCTGCAATGAAGAATAGAAAAGCAATAGATTGACTGAACTGAAGTCTGTCAGCAGAGACAGCCCCAGAAGAAATATATTGAAAAGAAGATATGGCAGATCTTAATAGTGAAAAAAAAAATCTATAGGAACACAGGAGGAGTTAACAAATACCAGAGTGGCCAAATTGAACTTGAGAGCATTTTTTAAAAAAAAGTCACTTGAATAATGATCAACTAAATTTTATTTTTTTACATCTCTGGAAAAACTTTACCCCAAAGGCATGTGAGAAATACAGATTTATAAACAAATAAGTAAATAAAATAACAAATAGTTGGTTTTAAGCTAATGATTTTACTAATTGCTATCTAATATTCTTTTGCTACTGCTTGTACTATATGTATTTGAGCCATATTTGTTTTTATCATGTTTTACCGTTTATTGTTGATCCAGTTGTATCTTTCTGGTGACTGAATGATCAGCCAATCCTCTGAAACAGATTTGGGGAGAGATATGAATTGCAATAGTGGCTGTTTGTTTATAAATCTGTAGCTCTGGTGGAGGATGAGGGTGAAAGTTTGTTCTCCAAGCTTGTGGGTTGGTTTTGAATGTTTTGTTACCAGGCTAGGTAACATTTTCAGTGGAGTTTAGGGGATGTCAGTGTCAGTGTTCTGTTTATAAGGGCTTCAGTCGTGTTTGTGTCAAGTGAGGGTCTTGTGATGGGTCAGGTACGAGTCATTAGTGAGAGGCTTGTGATGTGGAGGTTACATCAGGTCAGGGTCACTGGGAGGTGAACTGCTGGTGGGAGGGGGATGGGCCAGGTGTGAGGGGAGGGGGGTTTGCGTGGGTTGATTGAGCGTCAGTGCTGTCTCTGGTTGGCTATGCAGTTGATTTGGATTCTGAGGGGTTGGATTCTGTGTCTGTTGATGAAATTGCTTGTAGAGTGCCAGGCTTTGATGAACTCACAAGCGTGACCGATGATTTTAGTGTTGCTCCAATCGAACAGGTGTTGTTTGGTGTTGGTGTGGAGATTAAGGATTTGGGATCATGGCATTTGATACGAATACCTATTGTACTAGTGGGATAGATCCTTCACTTTCATTCAGGAAAAAGGGAAGGTATCTTATATGAATAAAACATTGGACATACCCCGTTATTGACATATAATGTCCTTATTTTTTTATAATTGTACATTGTTTTGGGGACTACTAATAGAAAACTAGCAGATAGAGGGAGAGAGAGAGAGAGAGAGAGAGAGAGAGAGAGAGAGATTAATTTCCAAACAGTTGAATTACATTGCCTCTAAAATTGAAGGCATCATAAATAAAATAACAGGTAAAAGTTATTTAATGGTCAAAACCAACATTTCTTTCCATTAGGTGTCTTTGAGTATGTATTAAATTTGTAAGCATAGAAGTACATCTTTATATTTGCATGAATGCTTTCCTCTTTTGCTCTGTCCTGATAACATTCATCTTTGTTTCTTTTTTCCAGTGGGATGGAGTTGGCCCTCTCCCTGACTGTGCAGAACCACCAAAAGGAATCCAGATGCTATGGCACCCATCCATAGTCAAACCCTACCTCACACTTCTCTCTGAGTGCTCAAATCCAGATACACTGGAAGGGGCAGCTGGTGCGCTACAAAATTTGGCTGCAGGTAGCTGGAAGGTATGAAATCTGCCAGACTCTTAAATCAGCAAAGATGTCTTAAGTTGAATAATTAAAAACTAATTGGAACACCAGTTGAAACAATTGCTTTCCCTACTGTAATATCAATAAGGAATTCTTGCTATTCATAAGACTGCAAGCATATTAGATCTAAATTCTATTTATATTGTTAATGATTCATATTAAAAAATACAGGAGCCAAGCCTCCTTTAACTCTGTTTGTTTGCTTGAGCACAATAAAACCATTTCATTGTGAAGAAACCCAATTATATTTAGCACCAATTAACATCCCTGCTGACAGCTTTAGGAAATTATCAAGGACAAATGAGAAAACTGAGTTAGGTTCCTTATCTGAGGTTGAGAAACAACCTTAAGCTGCTCTGTTGACTAAATGTGAAATAGGATTGATCCTTCAGGAAATCCTTCCTTAAAATTTAATTAGTTCCACTTCAAGATGTATGGGCTCAGGTAGTAGAACTGTGATGTGATTTAATATATTTGTTTCCATATTATGCCAGCATGTTTTATTTATGCTATGCTGTTAGTTCAATATACTAATCTATATGGACCAGGCAATAGAAGACATGGTTTATCCTGCTACAGCTTGCTAAAAATAGCCTATATATCAATAAGATGCATGGCTTGTCATGTCCAAGGTAAGCATGTCTGACCAAACAATTTTTCTTTGAAATGGGAGCTTGACAAGCAAAATTGGTACAACTGAGCAGTGAATGAAATAATCTGCTTTCACAGAAAATTCATATAGAATAAGCAGTGTTACCCTAAGCTTTTCCATTCTGTCTTGTCAATTTGCCTAAAATGTGTGATCCTGGAGGATACTCTATCCTGAAGGGAGAAAAATGCCTAATTATATATAGACTTATATATAATTAGCTAAAGCAATGAAATTTTAATCTGCTACTTGCCAATCAAAGAGGCTTTTTATGATGTAGAAAATATTTATTTACAGCAGTCCAATTGCAAATAAAGCTTTCTTCATGTTAGCCAGAACATTTCTTTTAAATACTTGCCAGGGACAGCCAGCAAAAGTTTATGATATACAGTAACAGTATCATTAGTAAAGATTGCAAGCTCTTTCATTTATGAATGTGCATCTGAAAATATTTAGGTTCAGTGATGGAAGGAAATGGATAATTGCATGTGTTCATTTCCCTACACGCTTATATGATATTTGTGTAAAATACCTTATCCTCTAGTTAGTTAAGCTGGTTAGATTCCTCACAAGTAAATGGTCTGAGAGGATCAGATACTCTAACAATGTGTTAATTGGAGAGTACAGACAGCCCCATGGGTACTCCCATGTTGTGGATAAGAAACCCCCTCCAGTTTCCCTCATGTCAGCTGTGTTGACTAAGATTGCTAGGTGTTGCAGTTCAATCTCTGGCAAGAGTGAAAGGGGTCACTACCCCTACCCTTGTCACCCTGCCATTCTTGGTATATAATGGTGATAGGTTATGCAGTGCTTTCCTTGTGCCACTTCCCACTTTGCTGGAAGAAGCAAATGCCTGGGCCAGGCTTCTTCTCCTTCACACCAATTATGTGAGAGATGGAACTCTCACAGCTTGAGCACTTACTTGCCTGCAACCTGTGTGTATAATACTTATAAAAAGGAAAATAATACCTCAGCTCCTGGCTATAGTAGTATGAGGCCTGTGGCCAGAGAACAGCAGCCATCTTTTGAGGAGATCCAAATAAAGCTTTTATGATTGAAACATTAATTTTAAGTTAAATATTAAAGATAAATATGTTATTTTATCCTGAAGTAACAATTGGGCAGCATAAGGCATTAGACTGCTCTTGGAGAGACTGGGCATAAACCAAATGGGTTGGATCTGAGGTTCTCAGATAGAATAAAACATGTAAGAATAGGGTCACAGAAGGGCAATAAACCTCTGGTTCAAAAATCGCTGGAAACCATTAGTGGACACATTCAATGTATCAAAATTCACGAAGCAGACTAAATAGCTTAATGCAAGGAATCAGTACAAGTCCTCACCTACAATATTTAACTGCCTCAGAGAGGATTTTTTTCCTGAGCTTCTCCTAGCTTGTCCTCATCTCTACCAGTGTTTCCATATGGAAATTTCTTTTCAACATTTCTCAGGAAAATGGTTATGTTCTTCCAAATCCCAAGAAAAATCAGGCAAGAAAACATTAATCGAGATAGAGTCGATTAATTAATTCTGCTTGTAATGTTTGTAAAATGTCACATGTAAGATGTTTCATGTAATTCTCAACTCTCCAAGGAGCACTGCATACTTGGGATAGCCAATTCCCAACCTGACTCAAAAGGTCCTGTTGTCAGATGCAACATGCCAGGGAGCAACGGGTGCTAATTGAACAGATTCTCAGTTCGCCTCTTGGTTTTCCTTTTCCTCTTCCTGGGAAGTGTGACCATGGAGATAGTACAGAGGGCCTCCAGATCAACCTTATCAATAAGCAAACATTTAATAATGCACATTGGCACTAACTGGATAGGTATCAGAGTCTGCAGCTCCGTCAGTTTCCAATTTATAAAAAATACAGAATGGAATTCAGATTTCTCACTCTAAATCCCAAAGCTTAATACCTGTCAGGAATTTGAAAATTATTCCCCTAGATGTCAGCTTTCAATCCAAATTTTAGGAGCTTTTCATCTTAGCTGTTGACTCCCTAGAGATTTCTGGGTTGCAGTTCAGTGCTTCTCTCACCTAATGCCCAGAAATACTGCTTTTATCATGGGCACTCAATACTCTAGCCACTAAATACCTTGCCTCATCCATGTTCAAGCAGGCCTTTTTCTCTCTCCCTGAAGATTTTCTTGGCCTGATTCAGTGTTTTTCCTCAATTCCAGTCACAGAAATTAGCTTCACTCTTACAACACTTCTCTCTTGTACAAGTGTTGCTTAGCTTTCTGCTTTTTCTGGAAACTAGATCACCAAAACCATGTGGCTACTTTTAGTCCCTATTTTGTCCTCTTCATCCAGAAATCTTTTCTCCTCCAGATTTTTTTTCCTCTCTGCTCCTCTCCTAGGTAATCTGTTTTTTTCACATATGCCAAATTTCTTTTTTTTCTTCAGTCTCAATACAAAGGATTGTTGCCGGCAACAATAGAGTTGAGGAAGGCTAATCTGGGCAAATTTCTTCCTCCCCTACTTTGAGGCTTGGTTTACTGTTAATATGAGACCTCCCATCTGTCTGCTCAGATAGGTGGGATACTGTATGTGCATTGGCTGTTTGGTTGCAAGTTTGTCTTCCTGTCTACATACCATCCAGGCTACTCAAATCTGGGCAAAGTTGGAGGAGGGAAATTTCTTCCCAGAATAGTGGTGGCAATCAATGCAGACTCATGATCTCCTCCACTCAGAATTACTTCTATCTGAAACTCTGTTATTTAAACAAAAGCACCAAACTTATACCTTTATTTTCCATGTTGGCCTCTTAAATTGATTTAGTTTAATCTAATGGAAGAATAAAGTCAGGGAAGTTATTTTTCATAATAACAATGAGAAACCAAACAATAGTAGTACATTACAGAAATTTCCTCCTTTAATTGGCATAGCAAATAAATGCTATGGCAAAGAAAATTTTGTTTACTGCAAAACCTCACTTTGAATTAGAATGGGCTGTTCTCAGAGGAATTTTTTCTCCTTTCATGCTGAGCAATTATTTGAATGCTAATGTCAGTCTGATTTATGGACTAACTGGATGATTACGTATATTCCAGTTTCAAAATACACTGCCATCCCTCAAAAAGTTATTTGTCTTTGTCATTTTTTAAAAAATTATCTAGTAGGCTTATTGGGGCTTATTGGCTTATAGAGCATATGTGCAGGACTGTTGCTTAATAACAATAGTGAACATATTCAAGAATGAATTTATTTCTCAATTTTGGAAGAAGAATGAAGTAGCCGCATCTCATACTGAATTCTTTTGCAAGAAAGACAGCAGAGGATAATTGCTTGCAAACATATCCTTATTGACAGTACCCCAAGAATTCTGGCATGATTAATAAAATATCTGAGAAGGTTCATAACTTGAAAGCATAGATAAGATTATAGTTTGATTCACAGTGACAATTATGGGATCTATATGGAGTTTTCACAAAGAAAACATTATAAATAGGATTATTATTTGATAGTCTTTGACTAGATCCAAATAACAATTTGTATATGCCTAAGATAGTTTTGGCTCCTGTCTTACATCCCACCTTAATTGTGCAGCAACCTTCTCTTTCAAAAGTGATTTATTATACAGAACATTAGAATGAGCACAAACTCAAGAGGCATATAGGAGCAGCATTAGAAATAGCTGTCTAAGTTTGGGGGACTGTATGCTGTATTGTTGCAGAGTTTGTGTGTGTGTGTTGTGTGTGTTTATGTACAGACACAGATACACTAAATGTTCACCTAACATCTTCTGACTGCCTTTCAGAATGTGCTCATGATAAAGCAGTGGATTGGAGTATCTGGGAAAGGTTTTGAGTAGATGGAGTTCAAGAAAGCTATATATATATATATATTTATTTGTTTCTGATCCATCCAAACATCAGTGTTATCTGGAGAAAATGGCACAGTTCACACATACTTTCTGCAATTACCTACTTTCCGATACAATATTTCTCACCTTATAGCCTTATGCAAACCTGTGGAGTAAAGTGGCTAAACACATATCTGGTTCAAGTCTAAGCTATACTGTCAGACAAAGCTACTCTTCTGCAATATGAGGATAGCAACAACTGTATCTGTCAGTAATTCAAAGTGAGATTGGCAGTTATTAGCATCTATAAAATGATGACTTTTATTACTATTTTTCATCTCTAAATAACTTTTGCTATAGCCTCCTTATTCAGTCGATAAAACTTATTTATTCTGTCATATTCATACTTTTTTTCCTGCAGTGGTCAGTATATATACGTGCTGCAGTACGGAAAGAAAAAGGCCTGCCTATACTAGTAGAACTTCTTCGAATAGACAATGATCGGGTGGTATGTGCGGTTGCAACAGCTTTACGGAATATGGCCTTAGATGTCCGAAATAAAGAACTAATAGGTAGGTGCTAGCATGATAATTATTGGCTTCACACCAACTTTGCAACATTGTTATATAAATATGCCATTCCTGCCTACAGTTAGATGAGAAATTAAACATATTTAGCACTGTAAAGTGTTAAGATATTTCCAGAATGGGATTCTCTGTTCTTGGTTAATCTTAAAAAGGTCTATATGTATTTTGTGTTTTTATCTTTTGGGAGAGGCAGAATCCTTTCTGACACTACTCATTATAATGCAAAACTGCATGTGCTTTTGAGTTTTGTTCAAGTGCTGTAGGTGAAAGCTGAAAAGGATAGAAAAGATACAAACACATGAAAAGTTTAACTAGAAGTGGAAGGATCCCACCAGCAGGAATATTCTTGCAACCTCTTATAATGAAGAGTTTTCCCCTCTTCTGGTAATAGGAATGTCCAAGGAATGTCATTCTGCTCAGCTGGAAGCAAACGCAGTGTGCTACTGTATTGTAATTTTGCATTCCTCTGGTTAATACCAACTTTTTCATTTTATCCAGAAGAATTGCAAATCCAGGATGGTGGCGAGAGATCATGAGTATTAGACTTGTCCTGGACACAGTCAGCTGGGTGGCTTTGGGACAGTATCTCAGCCCTTGGAAGAAGTGACATATTATTCCTGAAAATCCTGCCTAGAAAACTGCATGGATTGTTCACCCAGTCACCAGGAATCAAGGCTGACTTGCTTTTAAAGCTACTGTATAGAAAGCCATTGATGCGCACATTTCTGTCTAAGACATTTTTCAATTCATGTGAAAATACATCTGACCAATAGTAATTTTTTAAATTTATATTGCCACCTAATTGCTCATGATGACTCAAGGCAGTTTATAGGAGATAAAAGCACAATATAAAAGAGATAAAAAATAATAAAAAATAAAACACACATTCATACTAATCATTTAATGGACTCCATCCCGCTCTGGGTTCCCCAGACCCGCTGACAGAACCATATCTTCAAGGACTTGTGGGAACCAGAGTGGGAACCAGTCTATTTCCCGGAGGGATGATGTTCCAAAGGGAGGGAGCCACCATGAGACGACCCTTCTTCTGGATCCCGCAAGATGTATCTCCTTAGGGGACGGGACCCACAATATTCCTTACCTCCCTCCTCTAGTGGGTCAGGTGGATGTAAACCGCAAGAGATAACCTGGTCCCAAGCCATGAAGGGCTTTAAAGGGGACAACCAGCACCTTGAATTGCATCCGGAAGCAAATTGGCATCCAATGCAGCTCCCGCTGAAAAAGGCACTGAAAAAAGTGAATTTATGACCATTTTTCACACTTAACAATCATTGCAGCATCTCCATGGTCATGTGATTAAAATTCAGATACCCATTCATATTTATAACAGTTGCAGTGTCTCTGGGTCGTGTGATCACCTTTTTGCAACCTGTTGACAAGCAAAGTTAATGGGGAAGCCAGGTGCACTTAACAACTGTGTTACTAACTTAACAAATGCAGTGATTCACCTAACAACTATGGCGAGAAAGGTCGCAAAATGAGGCAAAATTCACTTAACAACCATCTCGCTTAGCAACAGAAATTTTGGGTTCAATTGTGGTCGTAAGTCAAGGACTAACTATACTCTTCTTCTTTAAAAAAAACATTCCTATTATATCACATCTTGAATTAATGTCCATCTGCCTAATCATCCTGTTCCAAAGTTTTCGATTTATCATCTTCAGTCACTATTTACAACAATTTTAGAAAAGAAAATAATTAAAGAATGACTAAGGGAGCTCACAGAAGGCTTTTTATTTCTGAGGAGGTTATTTAGGCGGTTGTTAAGATGCTGTTTGCACTGTTTGCAAGTTAAAGATGGGAACTTTGAAATACACTTATAAATCATATTTTTATTAGGTTTCTGGAACATCAAGTATCATAACAATAAAGACTCCCTCAAGCAAAGGCCCTGTGAAGATCAACCACTGTGAATTCATCTCCAGTCTAATATTTTCTAGCTGATGTGTTCATATATTGTAGACATCCTCCTTATGCAGAGAGATTTAAGCTTTCTCCCAGATTTTTAGGAGGAAAAAATCTTCACAATTATGCAGCTGGAAACCACTATATGCCCCCAAATCTAAGAGATATGATCTGGAGGCTCTGTTAAAATGGGGCTTGGACAAAGCAACATAGCAATTGAAGCTTTGTTTAAAAAAAAAGTGAAATCATGCCCCAGATCACTGTTTCTGTGGCAGGGTATAGAGGATCAAAAGCACTCCTTCCATGTTTGACTTTAGATGCTACAGCCACTGTAATTATTGGGAAACACTTTACCTTTTTTAAACGAAAAATATGACTACAAAATTTGTAAATCTGCTATCTAGTGCAGTTTTAGAAAGCTGTACTTATTTGAGTTAGTCAGAACCAACTTAAACTATTTTAGGAATATGTAGAAAATAATTGTCTTCTAAAGACTCCTAGCAGTAGAGAGTCTTCATCAAAAGTTTATAACTTGAAAGTCAAGGCTTGTATTATGTCAGGAGCTGCTTTTTTTCAATAATCAATTCATACAATTTTTTTATACAAACTGCATAAATTTGATGATGGTAGGAATATTTTTCCTAAAAGGGAACATTATGCTGATACAAAGTTACATGATATATGGTTATATACACGGTAATATTAATATTGTAATAAAGACACTATTTATATGATATTCCATGGTACATTCTAAATCAGTATCTGTTAATTTATTCTCTGTCAAGTTTCTCATAAAATGGCTCAGTGCAAATAATTTTCTCAATGATAAAATATGTAATGCCTCACTGTTAAAATTTAAACTAGGATTAATATATCCCAAAGGTGCTTTTTCAAAAGGCAACTGGTCTGTCTTTGTTTTTCCTTGAAGACGTTTCGCTTCTCATCCAAGAAGCATCTTCATTTCGAACTTGAACTGAACTGAAGAAGCTTCTTGAATGAGAAGCGAAATGTCTTCAAGGAAAAACAAAGCACTTTTGGGACAACCATGACTGGATGAGTGAGAATCTCCCTAGACCAGGGCTTTTCAACCAGTGGTACAGGTACCACCTGTGGTACATTGGCACCTAGAAGGTGGTATGTGACCATCCTAGAAAAGTGGTAGCGGGGGAGGGGAATGAGATGAACCGGTGGCAGCACCGCACAAGCCTGAGCGAGAGATGGCTGGAGCTGCAGGGCTGTCAGGACTCAGCGGAAGCGCCAGGATCAGTGCCGCTTTCCAGCTGATCGGCGCTTCTTCGGGGCTGTCAGGGCTCAGGTGGAGCTCGGCACTGATCCTGGTGCTTCTGCTGAGTCCTGAAGAAGCACCAATCAGCTGGAATATTGCAGCATCTCCAGGGTCTTGTGATTTACATTCAGATGCTTGGCAACTGATTCATATTTATGACAGTCACAGTGTCCCAGGGTCATGTGAAGTGACCAAAACCTGCTGCAACCACCCAGCAGATGGGGGGAATAAAACACCCCCACCCCACCCCCGCTGCCAATCCTCAACAGAAATGCTCACAACAATGGAAACCTCGGACAGGAAGAAGAGCGCCACTGGGTGGGCAGGCAGGTGTCTTGCTCGGCTGTGGCTTGGGGGGCACTTTTTTCAGTGCCATTGTAACTTCAAACAGTCACTAAGCGAACTGTTGTAAGTCAAGGACTACCAGTACTTCATCACTTTTTCCCTTTCTTTTTTTTTTGGTTATCAAGTTTTTGACACCTTGCTAGGCGACTGGTGGTACTCGGATGTTGCCATATCCTAAAAGTGGTACAATTGTTGAAAAGGTTGAAAAGCCCTGCCCTAGACATTTAGGATGAATATAGTCTTCATCTATGTCAGATAATGACTTACCTTGTTTCCCTCCAGAAAAGATACAATCCAAAATTAAGTTAGAAACTTTATGGACATAATATACAGAAATCCAGATTCCAAAAGTGTATTCAGTTTTCTTAGCTACATTAATTTAATTGGGCAATGTGAAAACAAAGAAAAAATATTCTAGCTCAAGTATGCATTGTGCTGGTTTCTACCATTAATAGGGAACTTGATTTACTAGTTTTGTCCTAAAAAGTTACATGGCAGTGTAGATTTCAGGGTGATATTCCAATAATCTCAACTAAAAATGGGTATTTGCTATTACCTGTTTCCATTTTCTAATCAAAGCATTTTTAACTCCCAGCAAGTCTCACAAATATTATTTTTCCCTTGATCTCTGGTTAGTTGTATTCTATAATTTGTAGAGATCAACATCAGACCTACTTCAGAAATTAAGATTAACAGGTTCTCTAGTCCCCTAGACATAATCAAGTAAATTATCCTGTGAAAATATTATCTGCAAACCCAGCACTTTCAAACATATTTGATATTATAAGCAAATTTATATTATTTCCCAGCTAATTGGTTATTACTTTATCTATCTAGCTTTATTTAGAATTTTGTTAAGCACATATGTTGGTTATCTCAAATTATGTGTAAAGGTAAATTAAGAAGCAATTCAGTGTAGTAGTTATGGCACCAGGCTAGAAACCAGGGACTGTGAGTTCTAATCCTGCCTTATGCATGAAACCAGCTAAGTGGATTTAGTTCAGTCAGCCTCTATCAGTCTTAGGAAGAAAGCAATGGCAAACCACTTCTGAAAAACCTCGCCAATTGCAGGGACTATTCTAGGCAGTCATCAGGAGTCAACAGTGACTTGAAGACCAAAAGTAAAAAAAGTACAACAGTTAGTTGTTTTAGTTTTTTTTTTAAAGCTTCTATTTTAATTTGAATTCACAATAGAGGAGATGAGGTCATTTGTATGACTGCATTTTTTTTCTTGTCTTTGAACCTGAATGAAAATAATGTACTAGAAAAAGGAAAAATATGTGACATCATTTGTTCATGGCATAAATTTGTACAAAGGGGGGGAAGGAATGTAAAGTACAATAAAAACTACAGCTTTCTATTTAAAAAAAATCTCCATTCCTATAAAACTCAAATTAGTCAAATAACTTTCAGTATGACTTGAAAAGCTAGATTTTCTTCCATTTATACATCTCAATTTTTCTTAATGTTTTTATTCTTCTTCGCACTTTGAAAAAGTTAATTGATCTTCATGAAAGATAATAGGCTATCCTTTCTGTATTAATTTCTTATTGTTTATTTTAATGAAAATATTGTAGCTTCCTTTTCTTTGAGCTCAAGTTGTTTTAACTGTAAACACATGGTATAATAATAATAATAAAGTTGGAAGGAACCTTGGAGGTCATCTAGTCCAACCCCCTGCTCAGGCAGGAAACCCTATACCATTTCGGACAAATGGCTGTCCAGTCTCTTCTTAAAAACGTCCAGTGTTGGAGGATTCACCGCTTCTGGAGGCAGGTTGTTCCACTGGTTAATTGTTCTAACTGTCAGGAAGTTTCTCCTTAGTTCTAGGTTGCTTCTCTCCTTGATTAGTTTCCACCCGTTGCTTCTTGTCCTGCCTTCAGGCGCTTTGGAGCATAGCTTGACTCCCTCTTCTTTGTGGCTGCCCCTGAGATATTGGAACACTGCTATCATGTCCCCCCTTGTCCTTCTCTTCATTAAACTAAGCATGCCCAATTCCAGCAACTGTTCCTTATATATTTTAGCCTCCAGTCCCCTAATCATCTTTGTTGCTCTTCTCTGTACTCTTTCTAGTGTCTCAACATAGCCAGAATACTTATTTAAAACACACATTAGAATATAAATCCAGCTTCCAAAGGAAAAAAAAAAAATCACTGAAAGGGAACAATAAAAGTTCTTGAAATGCAATTTACTCACATATACCTACATTTAGTTCATAAGTATGGTATAAATACTTGTACCTAAAGAAAGGGGTCTCAAAAAGTGTTCCAAGCACTATGAGCTATTTCTTAAAATGCATACGCATCCTTATATGATGTTGGCTGGGTGTTGTTCATTGGGAGTGTAAGGATCAGTTCTAATGAAATTGAAATGATTGCTCAGTTTGCTCAATCCATTTCAGTTCATGTTTTCAGACAGCTGAGTGGCATTTATCTAATTAGGAAGTTGATTTAGTTTGCAAGGATAGAATCTATATGTGTAAGAGGTATTGAATCATTAGATCAATTCAAAGACAACAATTTCATAATGTGATTCAGAAAAGTGATAGTTTAGAATTTAATTGAATCTTCACAAAGAATAATACTCAGTGCTCTAATGGGTTGGGATATAAGTGGTCCATATTAAATTTCTTGCTTACCAATAGTAATAGTGGTAGTTATAGTAGGCCAGAATTTTTGTTGCTAAGAGATGCATTTGCAAAATGCTGTGTCACATAACTGCATTACTTAGCAACAGCAATCCCAGCAGTACGTGTTGTTTTTGTTAAGTGAGACTCACAAGTCATTGAACCAAGCATCTCCTCACAGCTTCTTGCTGGCTTCCAACAAACAAAAGTGAATGAGGAAGCCGGAAGGAAGTTGTGAACCCAGGGCAGTTTGCAAACAGGTCAGTGGGTGGATAAGCGACTGCACCAGGCCAGCGCAGGTGCTCCAGGCCAGGGTTGGCTGCTACCAGTTGCCTGACACTCCATTGCCCTTTTTCTTAGGTATATTTAAATTCTCTTTATTCACTTGTTCAAGCATCTTTCATCCCCATGGATTTGTCTGATAAGCTATCCTCCTATTATAAAGTCAAGGGGAGGGAATCATTAGAAAAAGAAAGAATACCACCACAAATTTCCCCTCTCAAATGAAAAGGGAAAATAGATTAGGAATTAGAATCCAGTTCAGTTTGGAGGTGTTGCACATTATAATTAGGCATTCCTGTTGTCTGTATTATTATAAAATCTGAATTAATCTCAGGTCATAAACATTTATTATTTAGTTAGCAGAGATAGTTAAACAGTGTTCATATACAAACCCTACTGCATCAATTTACCTAATGAATATTATACCTTCTGATACTGAATTTCATATGTTAATTACTCTGGCATGATTTGCTTTTCCTTGCTCGGAATTAGCTGGAGAGGGTGATATTTCTAACTTTGTGTGCCATTAACTGTTAAAACTTTCTGTCTTCTCCTTTTCAGTTTTCTGTTTTTAGAAATATAAAAGCTCAGAATCTTTAGTCCTGCATATACAGAAAAAAAAGTCCAAATCCTTAAATCATTTATTTTTGTTATCTATTCAAGAATGGATTATTGCATACTAATTTGAGGATAAGGCAATGCTGTAACCAATGTTCTGGAGATCCCTTCATCTTACTGGCTTACTGATCTTACTGATCTGGAGATCCCTTCATCTTACTGGAATCAGGCCCAAACAGTCATTCAAAGATTCATCCACTATGCATAAATTACAACATGTCACAAGTTAATGTATGCTTAAATTTGCAAAAGGCTTTTGATGAAAACCTTCTTAAACTAAGCACATGTTGTGTGAATTGGCTGTACCGAGAATCAGAAGCAGCCTGAAATCAGGAAACAAATACTGTATGTATTATGAATAATTTTTCTTTGTCATTTCCTTGCTGTTCCACTTAAAATCTAGCTTTAATAATTTTTCTATCAATTTTTATTTAAAGGTAAATTTTAATTTGTAAACTGTAATTTGTAATCTGTAACTTCCTGGAAAGTAATGTTTATTGAGATGTGCAGAGATCTCCCATCATCTTTAGCATCTTTATAAATTCTAGAGCTGCATATGCCACTGAACCTCAGTTATGGTGAGTTACCCTGTGGTAAGATGGGCAGCTAATAATAACAACAACAACAACAACAACAATAATAATAATAATAATAATAATACTAGCAGCCCTCAGGATGCCCTCAGACTACTACTGAGATAAAGAAAATATAATTTAATTGAATCCTGTGAAGACATTTCCCTGCATGCCTTATATAATGGACTGAGTCAAACCCTAAATGATCTTACTTTTAAGCTATGCAAAGCAGTAAAGGAAACTAAAACTGTGACATCATTTCTGTGCACAATTGCCTTTCCATCAAGAAGATTAATTATGCACATAGAATTTCCATTGAAGCTAATTAAGAAATGATCACTGTACCATATCGTTATCTATAGTGTATACCTTTTTCTTCCCCAAAAGATATTATTTCCTTAAAAAACAACTGGACAGAGATTTTTTATAGTGGTACCTTGGTACTAATCGTTAATTGGTTCTGGAAGGCACAATGAGTACCAAAAATGATGAGTACCAAACAAAACTTTCCCATAAGGAATAATGTAGTGAGTCACAAGGCAGCTGACACCGGCAGATTCTAGCTTGTGTGTTGAGTACTAAACAAATGATGAGTGCCGGGACAAAATTTTCACATCAAAATGTATTGAGTACCAAATTTGATAAGTTTCAAAGCAGTTGAGTACCAAGGTACCATTAAATGTTACCATTTTGATCAGAGTGAATTTAAAATAGATTAGAGTTCTTATTCCTTCCTTTTCTGCAAGTGAGGAATTGTATGTCTTCAAACGTATATTTCTTAATAGTAGGAGGCTTACATCTTTCCTATAACAATACCAATATTTCTACATTAGAGTATCAACTGTTGGAGCATGTATCAAAAGGAATTAAAAATAAATACGTGAGATAGGGCTATGGTATCAAATCCAGTTATTTTAATACACAAGTCATAAAACCAGGGTTTCATTAAGAAACTGGTTATCTTCTCCACATCATTAGAACTATTGTTATGATGTTGGCTAAAGAGGACTAAGAAAATATAATCAGCGAGTCACAGAGCCATTGAACCTTGATCCTAACCACAGTTTGGAGGTATCATCAGGCCCACTTCTTCTGACACTTGTGACTCAAACCTTGAATACAGTCCTGTTCATCTAGCCTATGGAAACATTATGATGTCCACCTGAAGAGTCAGAGTAGAAAACAGAGGGATGCCTTGATGTACACAGAAGCATTCAGCCCACACAACACTAGTTGGGGAAAAATGGAGCTGGAAATCAAAAGGGATCAATGTCAACTATAGTGTGCAAGTTCTCACCTTTTGTTTCCTTCCATTCAATCATGTCCAATTGTTGGAGACTACCTGGAGAAGTCCTTCTAGTTTTCTTGATAAGGTTTTTCAGAAAGGTTTACCATTGTCTTTTTCCTAAGATGACAGAAGGACAAGATTGCTCAGCTGGTTTTTCTACTGGGATAGAATTGATGGTCTCCCAGTTTCTAGCCTGATGTCTTAATCACTACACCAAACTGATTCAGTTCTCACCTAGCCAGGGAAAATGAATATGATAGCGAAGGTGACCGTTTGAAAACAAGGCAGGTGTAGACAGCCCAATCCTTCCAGAAGAAAATACCACGCATCTGTG